CCCCAAAACCCCAAAACCCCAAAACCCCAAAACCCCAAAACCCCTGCTAGATGGTATACTTTAGGATTTAGAGTATGAAAAACACTTCTCAAATAAAATTAATATTATAATGGCTAGTAAAGCAGCACAGCTGGATAGAAGGTTTACTAAGTCTTCAAGAAATCAGTAAGATGTATACTCTGCTATGAATATTAAACCTTAGCAGAGTGCTCCCCTTAATGAGCATCAGTAGTCACAAATAGAAAATGTTACATAGCATATTCTAACGAATACCTCTAAGCTTGCACTGCAGAATTTCATCAAAGTAAAAAAGTGTCAGAGTAAACTTGTAATTCCGAAAGCACTGATCTAGAATAAATTACTTGCTAGTACTAATTCAAACCTATTATCAACTGCTTCTTCCATTTAGCAGAAAAGCATTATCTAGAAAATTCATATTAAGAAAGATAAGAAACCAGCAGAGGACAAAAATCAATAATCTTAGTAAATTGAAGTGAATGAGGAAATCGAGAGTCCAATATTTTATTGTGAAAAGAAAACAAATAAAGAAAATGATTTGCCTGCAAGAGAATCTATTCTGGACACTAAGAATAAATTAGAAAATTATTTGAATGACACAGATTCGTATGCAATCAATCAAAACAATAGTAACAACAAGATTACTTAATTAGCTTATAATGTGTAAAACCAGAAGAACTAATCGGTGAATTACTCAAGACAAGTCTCCACCACTAAAAGACCTCCAAAGCCCCCTCAAATCATAACATAAATTGAAAGTAAACGACATACCATTGGTGGTGAACTTCTCCAGCCTGACTATTGCGAGAGTCCCTTACTTAAGCCTATGAAATCTAACACCAGAATAAAGCAAACTATCTTGCTTGATAACTTTAAAATGAGTCCAAACCAGGGTAATATATAGTAGTAGTAATTACAGCAATATTAGTAAACTTCACAGTATATTGAAAAAGAAAAGCATAATTAAAAGTCATTTAAAATATTAACTGGATTAACTAGCAAATCAAAGAACCTTTAGAAAGTTCCATTTGAATAATCAGTGTATCAAACTAGCTATGTAAGAGATACATTGTCAAGAAATTCATTTTAAGATATTGGAAAAATCTTCCCAGTAGTCAAGTTCGGCCGAGACTCTCAATTAAGCTTTAATTCTCACAATAGTAGCATATCCAATCTGTCTTATAGATCAATGAGTTCTCCAATTAGGGTAACAAAAGATTTATTTGATGTGGAACTCATAAGAAAGCAAGCAGAAAGAATCTTAAGATCCAGCTAGCTGCAAGTATTTAAACAGGCAGATGAATTATGAGTGAAAACTGACATTTATATATAGAAGTAATAATGACTAGCATAAAATATTGATAAAGTTAATATTGACTATTAATTCGAGTAACGATGAGTGATTAAGTGACTATAACTTAGACTTAAAATAAAAATAGCATTAAAACTAATCAGTTCTAATTTTGTTGCTCATTCATATCGAGATCATTATTCTTTTCATCAGCCTTTTATTATTGATGGGTTTGCTAAACGTTAGAGATACTCTAAAACATTGTATTTCGGAGATTTATTACATTTTTCTATTTATATTCCAAGATCTTCTGTTTCTTCTCTATAAGCTACTTGGCCCTTTCCTCCTTTTCTTTTAGCCTATCTATCAATATCCTCTTATAAGCACTTTGCACTCTTCTTTATTTCCTCAGGTTTTGCTCTTATTCCTGCTTCTTTATGGACTTGAGTTCTCTTTTTTAGTGTGAAAACTCATCCATTGCTTGTCGGATATTTTAGGCCATCTAGTCCTTCTTCTTAAATTTACTTTCAAGTGATTAAATCTTTGAATCAAGTTATTTTTTTATTTCATCTAGTCTGGCTCTTTTAGTTTCCTCTTTTTAATGTATACTTTCAAGCTTCAAGTCTCTGTGATCTCTAATTTCTTCAACTCGTTTCTTGCTTTTCTTCATAAAGCTCTAATTTTTATCGATCAAATCCTTTAATCTTTCATAATCAGTTTACTGAGTCATTTATGACTTCAAATTTTGCTTTTAAACAATTTGCTCATTGTGTGAGTGCCATTTTTCAATATTTTTACTGATTTAATTGTATTTTTGAGACTCAGCTTTCTGAATTCTCATTTCTAACTCATAGAGAGACCTTTAAACTTTTTAATCATCTTCTTAATCCTCATAATAGAGGGAATCGCTCCCATGATTACTGAATTTTCTAGCTTTATCATAAGCCGATTTAGCCCTATCTGCTCTTGGTAACCTTCCTTAACTCATTTCCAGTTCAGAAGTCAAAAACTTCGAATTACTTGTACCATAGTACTTAGAGTTAAGAAAATCTTGCTCATACTTCTTCTTATTCTCAAGAGTAACCTGCATTTTCTTGTTCAGAGACTCCTCCCTTTGCTGTAATTTCTTTTGCAAATCCTAGTCAATTAACTCTCTCCTTTTTAAAACTGAAGAAAATTTATTACTCTTGAATTCCTAAAGTCCCTTGAACTCCTCTTTTATCTCATCTTATTTTTTCTTTTTCATCTTTTCTAGTTTTGTTTACTTGTCTATTTTCTGCTTTACATACAACTACTAATCAATTGTAAGTTTTTCCTTGTTTTCATAGATTCTCATCCATCTTCGCTTGTTTCTTTCAGTCTTATCAACTTAGTAAGAATAATTTAAGTTGTCTAGAAGCATTGATGAACTCATATTCAACTCATTTTAAAAACCGTTTGTACCCTAAGAGTCTGGTCGTAAGGAAATCTATATAATTTAAGTCGTTTTGAATTTATTACAGATCTAACTCTATTAACATGGCTCGCTCGTTCTCTGCTTTTCTAATTGGAATTTGCAGTCTTAACAATTCTCTCCTCAGTCGTTAGAGCTAGTTAACTAAAAAAAATTGATTTTTGATTTTGATATTTTAATATTACTTGATGCCACTTAAACTGTTTTTTACTCTTAGCGACCTGCCGTAATTAAAATACAAATCCTGAATAAACTTAGAGACCATACCTAACTTGGCTAACCTCTTTTGCTCATAATGTTAATACTTCATGCTCTGAATTTCTTGAGATTGACCTGGGGCAGCGAAACTCTCTAATGGTCTATAAAAACAAGAAATAAGTTATAGTTACAATAATAAAAGGAAATTCAATGTAGCTAGAATTAACACTTACCTCATAATGAGATCTCTTGAATCAATATTAAGTTGCTGGCATGCTTATAGAGCTTCATCTGAAAGCTTGTTCTCAGAAGCGTAGATCTTATTTGACAGTATTCGACTTTGGAGTGTCTTAATAGGACCTTTAATGAATGTTAAAATATGTTTTAGTTTTACTCCCTTGAATGCTTGTATTCATTTAAGATATAATAAATTTTAATAAATAAGAGATTTAATGTATTTGCGAATATTTATCGAATGGGGTTTTGGGGTTTTGGGGTTTTGGGG